CTTTTACAGCCACATCCACCTCTCTCAGTCCCTTCTCCTGTCGGTGACCCCTGGCAAATGCTGATCTGTTTTTCACATCTATGATGATTTCATTTCAAAAATGTTATAGTAAATACATAGTATATAACATTATGAGACTGACTCAGCATAATTCCCTAGAGAGACATCCAAGTTTTCGCTTTTTCTTTTTTCTTTTTTTTGGTCCAGTAGCATTCCATGTTATGGATTTACCAGTTTGTTTAACTTATTCTCCCATCTAAGGACATCTGGGGTATTTCCAGTTTTTGGATATTATGAATAAAGCTGCTACAAACATTCGTGTATAGGTTTTTGTGCAAACGTAAGTTTTCATTTCTCTGGGTTAAATGCCCGAGATACAGTTACTGAGTCACATGGTAGCTGCAAACTGTTTTCCAGAGCAGCTGTGCCATTTTACATTCCAACAAGCAATGTATGAGTGATCCAGTTTCTCTGCATCCATGCATTTGTTATTGTCACTATTTTTAATTTTAGCTATTGATAGGTATATAGTGATATCTCATTGTGGTTTGAATTTACATTTCTCTAATAGCTAGTGATGTTGAACATCTTTTCATGTGCTTCTTTGCCATCTTATATCCTCTTTAGTGAAATGTCTGTGTGTGTCTGCCTTGGATTAAGTGTCCCCCCCAAACTTGACCTCACTGTGACAGTGTTAAGAGGGTGGGAAATCCTATCATGGCAATTGAAAGGTGGGGCCTTGAAGAGGTGATTAGATTGTAAGAACTTGCCATAGTGAATGGATTAGTAATGGTGGTCAGGGGCATGGTTCTGAGTTTAAAAGGAGAGTGCATGAAGAACTCTCTTTCTCTCTGCTCGGCCATTTCTGCTATGTGAGACCCCTGGGTTATTGTCAGCACCACCAAGACCCTCACCAGATGTGTTCCCTGGACTTTGGACTTCCCAGCCTCTGAAACTGTAAGCAATAAATTTCATTTTCTTGGAAATCACCCAGTTCCACGTATTTTGTTATAATTAACAAAATGGACTAATACAATGTCTTTTGCCCCTTCTAACTAAATTGTTTGTTTCTTATACTACTGAGTTTTGAGACTTCTTTACATTTAAGATACTAGTTCTTTGTTGGATATATGGTTTGAAAATATTTTCTCCCAGTCTTTTCATCCTGTTAATAAGGTCCTCTCAAAGCAACAGTTTTTAATTTTGACAAGGTCCAATTTATCAATGTTTCCTTTTATTGATCATGCTTTCAGTGTCAAGTCTAAAAACTCTTTGTTTAGCCCTAGTTTCAAATTTTTCTATTTTTTTCTTAAAAGGCTTATGGTTTTAAATTTAAGTTGTATTCCATTTTGAGTTAATTTTTGTATAAAGTGTGAGGTTTAAGTTCTTTTTGGGGGTCCAACTGTTAAAGCATTATTTGTTGAAAATGATATCCTCCCTCTATTGAGGAATCTTTTGTACCTTTGTCAAATATCAGTTGGGCTTATTTGTATAGATCTATTTCTGGAATCTTTATTCTGTCCCATTTATTTATGTGTCTATGGGAACCAAGCCTCTGGCCTTCATAGGTGAAGATTGCTTCCCAGGCTAGGTTGGCTGTGATGTGATCCCCTTTGCCATTCCTACTCCGCCCCCTTCATGGAAGGAAGGGAGAGCACTCCTTTAGCTAATTATCAGCAGGGCTTCCAATCCTTTCTGCCAGTTTTGATGGGATCACCTAGTATGGTTGGCAGGATTCCATTCAATCTAGGGGAGAAATGAGCCTACCTGAGTGTATTAGTCTGTTTCTGTTGCTTATAACAAAATACACAGAACTGGGTAATCTGTAAGAAATTAAATTTATTGCTTACAGTTTCGGAGGCGGGGAAGTCCAAAGTCCAGAGAACACATCTGGTGAGAGTTTTCTTTGGCGGTAGCTTTCCGGCAATGCTGGGGTCTCACGTGGCAGAAAATGGTGGTGCAGAGAGAGTGCTAACCTTCTCAGCTGGCTCCTTTTAAAGCCATCAGGACCACACCCACAACCACCATTAAACCATCAACTTAATCACCTCTTGAAGGTCCCACCTTTCAATTACCATAATAGGATTTTCTACCCTCCCAACAATTACAGTGGGGATCAAGCTTCTAATACATAAAACCTGGGGGACACAATTCAGTCCATATCACTACACCACCTTCTACTGCTAGGTTGGAAGTCAATAAACACCAGGACTGGGTCCCCTTCTTCTGTTGGGTAGGGGGTTGTAAGACACCCTACTGCTGTGTTGTTCCTCCAGTTCTGGGTCCCCCACGAGATCATCATCTTTTTTCCACCTTTCAGAGTTCTCCTGATTGTCTCTCATGTCATTTCCAGGTTTTACAGTTATACTTAGCAGAAAAGCAGCATGAGACAAGTCTATGCCATTTTATTTGATCGTAAGTCTCATACATTTTTTATGGATGAAAAATGGAGGCTAATGGAGAGACTAAGTGACTTATTAATAAATCAGAGAAAAAATTAGTCTCAGAACTATAACTAGAACTGAGGTATGCTCATTCTAGACCAGTTGTCTTGCCACTTCATACCCACTGCCTAAATCTCATTGCACTGAAATAACATAAACATTTCTTGTAGTAACAAAAAGTTTGTGAGCTTCAATTATGCTTGAAGATTAAAGTAACAAATAGAAGAAGAAAGTCAATAATTTAGGTTGAAAATGCATGCTAAAAGGACAGCATAGAATTTAGAAAATATAAATACTAGCATGAAAAACTTCAGTAATTAAAAATCTCTTTTTTATGACTATTTGAAGTCTGTAAAGATATTATCAATA